GGCGGCGCTAAACGGCTGAGCCACCGGGGCTGCCCGCATATATTCTTTCTTGGTGATCATGTAGGGAAACTTTTTAGAGATTGTTTTTCCTACATTTCATAAACACTAAGCATGGTTTTTTTTTATTTTTAAAAAAATTTTTAATTTTTTAAGCATGTTTTAAAAGACATAATTTCTGAAATGTGAGTGTAAGCAGTACAAATGAGTCCATATCAAAACCTTAGAAATATTTTTAAAAAATATGTGTTTACCTAGCACCATCCTGGGCTTCGATATACTATATATGTATATGTGTATACTATGCATTCTGTTCACTAAGTATTAGTTATAATTTTTTTCTGTGACCCCCAAATTGACTTCCAAAATATCTGGTTATAATAAATCTGCTTAATTACATACAGAATACACCCATGACTAAGTCAATCTGTTCTAATCTGAGAAAATCCTTAAATTATTCTGTAATTTATGGCTACACTAAAGTACAAACACGATGTGATAAAGTGCAGTGTGAGAACCTCAGTCTCTTCATCACAGATGCATCTTCTTTATTGTCAAAAGAATTATTCAGATATTTTAATACACGTAATGCTTGTGTAGATTACATGCAATCTCATTAAGAGTAACTTTGGGGATGCCTGGGTGGCTCAGCGGTTGGGCATCTGCCTTCAGCCCAGGGTGTGATCCTGGAGACCCGGGATGGAGTTTCACATCGGGCTCCCTGCATAGAGCCTGCTTTTCCCTCTGCCTGTGTCTCTGCCTCTCTCTCTGTGTGTCTCTCATGAATGAATAAATAAAATCTTAAAAAAAAAAAGAGTAACTTTGTCATAGCATAAATTAGCAAGTACCAAAAGTCTATATTATGAACTGAACTCTACCTACACGTAACTGGTGCTAAAAAGAGATGTTAGAAATACTACCTGAAAAAAAAAAAAGAAATACTACCTGTCTCCATAAATCTACATATCATTTACATATAAACAAAACACACAATTAGAGAACAAGACATCAGTTGTAAAGGAGTCCAGCTCTCCTAACTCTGTAGCCAGTGGCATTTAAATAGGTTACACTGCAGCCCACAGTAAGAGAGAGACTTTAGTGTATATATTTCACTGATCTATATTACATATACCACTAAAATAGAAAAGATACTGGCTAAGATGTGATAAGGCAGTGACAAGAGAGCCTGAACACTAAGAGAAACACCAATTTCTAAAATATTGAAGAGGCAGGGGGAAAAAAAAGCATCTGAATACAACTTTTACATGCATGTCCTATGCAACTAAAACAGAACTTGTACCTGTGAAATTATTTATTGTATTCTTTTAAAAAAATGACCTGTGAATCCACTGAATTGATTTTACTACCCACTCATGAGCTGACCTGATCCAAACACTGAATCACGTATCACACAGATAATTAGAACCCTTGTTAACATGTAAGAGGAAAGTGTTAATTGTTCAGTTTGATCCTAGGGGCAGAAGAAAAGAAATAGCCTCACTGGGATAGAAACCACCTTGGGAAGGTTTCAAATTAGAAATAAGAGTTTCTTATTTCTAATTCATTACCCTCCAATGGATGGGTAATACATGGTGAGATAAAGAAGTAAACAATAAAAGAAAAAAAAAAGAAGTAGACAATTGAGCAACTTAAACTGAGGGGCGGGGACCCCCCCCCCAATGTGGATGTAAAAAAAACTCTTCTTCAAAATATAACCATTTAACTTAATAGGGATCCCTGGGTGGCTCAGCGGTTTAGTGCCTGCCTTTGGCCCAGGGCATGATCCTGGAGTCCCGGAATCGAGTCCCGAGTTGGGCTCCCTGCATGGAGCCTGCTTCTCCCTCTGCCTGTGTGTCTGCCTCTCTCTCTCTCATGAATAAATAAATAAATCTTTAAAACACACACACACACACACACACACACACACACACACCAAAACAAAAAACAAGGGAGACAAGGACTCTCTCCTTCAAGACTTTCCCCCAACCCAGCTTATGCCCAATCTTTAAAAAAAAAAAACAAAAAAAACAAAAAAAAACCTTAATAAACAGTATAGCACACAGTTTTATAAAGTCTTGCATATTTTCAAAGATGAAAACACATTGCAACGTCTCTCCTACAGGAAATAAACAACAACAACAAAAAAAAAACTCGAAGAAAAAAATTAAATATAGCTTCCAGGAATTAAAATCTATAACTGATTTAGATTGAAATTTGATGCAACATTTGTTTTATAGCCTTCTGATAAATTCCACAGGGGTCGAACAACCTGATGGCAGAGGGACTGTGGCCTGAAAGCAAGCGGCCGCACGTTCCCTCCCACTCCCCAATATTTCGTGTGTGCTTTGCTTACGGCCAAGGATCAATGCAAATCTCACATTTTTTTGGCATCGCCTTCCTGCCAGCCTCTGTGCACGTGCAAGAAATACCCGAGGATGCAACGTACCCACCACTCTTGAACCTGGCGGGCTGGAGCCCTCGGGGATTTCTCCTCCTACATCCATCCTCAGCACTTTCTCTCGAGTCTTTGCAAAAAAGCAAGCAAACAAAAACAGAGCGAGAGGCCCGTCTCGTGTGTGTGTAAGGACCACGCGCACGGCACAGCGCGACTGGGAGCACTTTTTTTTTTTTTTTTAAAGTGCAAACTGCAGTTAGGAGGTGTCACCGCGGTGCTCGGTACGTGGAGTTTCGATCCCTTTGGGGCAGATACCATCTCCCGGCCGGGCCCGTTAGAGGCCTCCCTGCCTCCCGCCCCCGGGCAACTGCGGGGCTCCATCCGGAGGGAGGGAGGCGCTCCCCGTGCAGCGCGGCTAAGCGTTCCCAGACCCGGGAGAAGCCCCGGGTTCCCGCGGGGCACTCAACGTGCAGGGAAGGGTCCCGGCGCTGCACGGGGCAGCTGGAAACCGATTTAAAATGGCAACGCGGACCAATCAGCGCCGCGGCGCCCGGCACACATTTACACGCGCCTCCTGCACAGGCGCGGCGCCCCCGGCTGCGCCCCGCTCCCCGCGCGGGGCTGTAAAGCAGGCGTTTGTATTCCACGGTGGTCTGTATTCGGGGGGCGGGGGACCTTTCTTCCTCGGGTGAACGTTTTCATTTTGGAATCGCTCCAAAATAATTTGGGGCGCGATGTGTGAAAACCCGAACCTCATTTTTTCGGGCGTTGTTTTTTGTTTTTTTTCTTTCCCCCCCTTTCTTATTCAAGGATGAAAAGAGGTCCCTTTTTTAAATGCACTCCACCTTTTTTTTTAAATAATAATAATAATAATAAAAAAAAACGGACTGTGGTCATTCCAGTGCTCACATAACTCAGAAACAGCCCAAGCAGTAAAATTAGGACTTGGCAGAGAGGGAGTTCCTAGGGAAGAGGTTAAAGCTAGGTAAAGCGCAGGGAGAGGCGGGCGCTTGGCGCAGTTTTGGGGGGCAGGGGAGCGGCGGGGTTTCGCGGGGGGCGACCCGTCTGCCCTGCGTTGGAGCGCCCGCCGGGGTCCGGGAGACTTTGCGTCGCCTCTAGGGTTTCCCGGGCGGCGGCGGGGGAGGGGGGCAGGAGGGACCGGGACCAACAAACCTCACCGAAAGGAGCCGGCGCGCTCCGTGTGCATGTGTGCACATTGTTTGCACGTGTGCACGTCTGCGAAGGTGCGTGCGTAGCTGCGTGCAAGCACGCGTGTGCTTATGCATGCGTGCGGCTGTGCGAGTGTGGACCGGGGTTGCACGGCTGGGTCGTGCGGTGTGTGATGAGGGCTCTCTCGCGGGCCGAGCACGGCTGGCTGCCGGGGGCCGGTTGCTACGGCTCCCCGGGACCGCGACCTCCGCCGCTCCCCGCAGAGTGTGGAGGAGCAGGTAAAGGCCAAGCCCCGAAACGCGGCTCCGGGGCGGCCTCCTTGCGGTGCCTTCCTGGGACCGCCGCCCAGAGGCGACCTCGGGCAGCGGGCGGGGACCGCGGGCGGCGGCGGGCCGCCCCGGGATGCCCGGCCTGTCCCTTTAACCCCGCCGCCGGGCGGGAGCACGTGAGCGGGGCTTCGGGTGGCACCCGGGCGCCGCCGCCGCCGAGGCAGTTGCATTTCGAACGCTGCCTCTGGCCCGCGGCCAGGCGCCTGGGCTCGGCGGTCCGCGGGGCCTCCCTCCCCTCCTCCTTTCCCTCCTGCGCAGCCCCCTCCCCTTTTTCCGCCCACGATTAGAGGTGGGCACTCCCTCCCCCTGCACGCCAACCCCGCCGCCCCCTCCCCAAGCGCGCGCGCGCGCACACACACACACACACACACACACTCACTCACTCACTCACTCACTCATCCCGCTTGCATCCTGGGGCAGGAACTCAGAAAACTTCCAGCCCGGGCAGCGCGCGCTCGGTGCAGGACGCAGGAGCGAGCAGCCGTGCCCTCCGCCCGTGCGCCGCCGCCGCCGCCGCCGCCGCCGCCGCCCGCTCCCGCCCCCGCCCCCGAGGACGCGCGCTGCCCCCCGCGCTCCGTCCTCCGCCGCCGCGCCAGCCGCGTCCCCATCCCCATCCCGATCCCGATCCCGATCCCGATCCGGCAGGACCTCCCCATCCTCCTCTTGCCTTCTGACTGCCCAACGCGCTCTTTGCTTTCTCTCTCTCTCGCTCTTTCTCTTTCTTGCTCTGCGAGCGCCGAGCGCGGGGGAAGAGGAGGAGGCATTCTTTCCCCGCCTAACATTTCAAGGGACGCGATCCCCTCCAAGTCTCTTCCACTTCCAAGCCGCTTCCGAAGTTGCTACCGGTGACCGCAACTCCGGATCCCACGCCGAGAGGGGAGCCTCCCGGCTGCAGAGCCTCCTTCGCGCGCTCGCTTCCCCCTCCTCTCGCCACCTCCACCGCCACCTCCACCTCCACCTCCACCTCCGCACCCACCCGCCGCCTGCAGCAGCGCCTCCTCTGCTCTCCTCCTCCTCCTCCTCCTCCTCCTCCTCCTCCTCCTCCTCCCCTCTTCTCTCTGGCAGCCGCTGGACGTCCGGTGTGGATGGTGGCAGCGGCGGCAGCCTGAGCAGCAGCAGCCCTCGCAGCGCGCCGGCTCTCGCCCGCCCGCCTCGCCCTCCTCCTGCAGCCCTCGCGCCCGATCTCCCGAAAGGTGCGGGGCCCGCTCGGGGCGGCGGCGGCGGCGAAGCGGAGGCAGGATGAGCGCACGCGGCGAGGGCGCCGGGCAGCCGTCCACTTCAGCGCAGGGACAACCTGCCGCCCCGGCGCCGCCGAAGAGAGGACGCGGCCGCCCCAGGAAGCAGCAGCAAGTCAGTACGCGGGCGGGCCGGCGGCGGCAGCCCGGCTCGGCTCCCCGGGCGCGGGCTGCGGAGTCCTCGGCGCCGGCGCGCGGCGGAGCCCCGGGGCGCCCGCGCGGCTCGCGGCGGGGAGGCGGAGGCGGGGGCGGGCGGAGCGCGTCCGGGGACTTTCGCTATTGTGCACGAGACCCGGCGGCCGGGGGCGCACGACCCGGGGCTCGCCGGGCACCTCCGGAGCGCGCGGGGTCCCGCGGGCGCGGGGGGGGTGGGAGGGAGGTGCGGGCGGTGCGGGGGTGGAGGGGGGCGCGGGCCGCGCGGGGCTGGGGGCGCGGGGCCGATTCTCCCGCCAAGCGGGGCGGCCGGCGGGCTGCAGACTGGCGCGCCGCCGCCGCCGCCGCCGCCCCCTTGGCGCCCTCCCCGAGCTCCCGGTGGCCCGAGACTCGCGCCCTCGCGACAAAGACCTCGTGGGCCCGCCCGGTGCCCTTCGGGCTCTTTAAACGCGGCGCGGCGCGGCGGCGGCCGCCGAGGGGGTCCCCGGGAGGGCGCTGCGGGGGGCCGGGGTCCCGGCGGGACGGGACTCGCCGGCTCGGCCCGGGGCGCGGCGGCAAGCAGCGCCCGAGAGTGAGCGCACGGTAGCGGGGTCGCTGCCTCGGCGCCCCGGGGCCCCTGAGCCGGGGACGTGCGACGGGCTTCCCCGGGGCGAGCGGCGGGGGGCCGGGAGGGGACGATCGCGGGGCGCCCGGGACCCCGCGGAGTGCACGGTTTTGTCCGTGGATGCAGCCAAGCAAGCTGCAGCGGGCGCCTGCGGGTTTTGTTCGCTGCGAGTTCCAAGCCTCGGCGGGCCGGGCTGCAGCGGGACTCGTCCGTGGAGAGCATTTAAACTCCGCTTCCGCGGGCTTTAAGACTTCCCCTGCGAGCCCGAGCCTTGGAGCGCTTCCTCCACGGCAAATAGGCCGATTAGAAAATAATCCTGGAGCCCCCTCCCCCCTCCCCGAGCTGCCCGAGCTGCCCGAGAGCAAGGTGGAGGGGGGGTTGGGGGGGAGATCGAGCAACGTTTGCTTGGCCAGAGCGTTTTAGAAAAACTGAAAGGGTTGTACCTTTTTTGAAATCATCAAAGGAAACAAGCCAATCTGGAGGCCCCGGAGTTTTCCCGCTCTGCCCCAGCGACACTTTAAACCGCGTTCGGAGCCAGTTTTCCACCTCCCAGGAAGGCTCTGCGCCCCCCCCCCTCACCCCCCACTCCCCACCCAGACCTGTTTCCCATCCGTCCCCCCCCAGCCCACACTAACTCTAAATTGTCCCCCTCCCCACCTCCAAAAAAGAAAAAAAAAAGAATGCAAAAGAAATTGCAGTGGGAGCTGGAGGTGATGGGAGGTTTTACCTTGGAGTTAACGCAGAGTTCACAAAGAAAGAAAAATGTGTCTCCGGTGTGTTTGCCCCGGATGTGCCCACTGGCGCTTGGTGGTCCCAGAGAAGCCTGCAGGGAGCCTTCCTCAGGTTCTCTAAATATGAGGATGCGAGTTTTCATTGAAGACTTCCATGCGTTTTAAGTTAATTAGTCTCATTTAATCACCGAATCCGAATGAAACGTAAATTGGTGATTCACCGCATAAATATTTAAGATCTGGAATATTAATCATCGCATTCTCTTAACCACTTGAGTATTTACTACTTGGCATGGAAGTCATTTAAAGTCTTGCTAAACCTATTGATAGTTTCAATTTCTCCTTCCCAGACACTTCCATTCTGCCTCCTTCCCCCCCTCCCCTGTTAGTTTTCTCCAATCTACCCCCCTCCAGAAGAGTTTTCTCAAAAGCAGGTTTTGGAGGAAATGCTTGTTTTTATCAAAAGGCATTTAAATGTAGGCTAGAGACCATGCCTCCAACTCCAAAAGGAAGTGGAGAACTGAAGCAATTATCTAGATAATTCAAGCAAAACCTCCCACAACAGATTTATCATAATTATTTGGAAATTTTAGGGAGAACGGAGTTATTTTGAATTGAAGATCTTGGATAATTGCTCCAATACTTCACACAATGTGTTGATCGAGTCATAATTGACTTACAATGCAGATACACAGAGATGATTAAAAACTATCTTTTCAATAGGGAAGATTGTTGAAATATTTATGATGTTAGCTTCATATTTCTGTTGTTTGAAATGCTAGTACAATGAGTAGTAGCATTCCTCTAAAGTATTTATAAGTCGCCAAATGCATAACCACTCAAATTTTACACCTTTAAAATGTATAATTCCTTCTAGAACCGGCAGCCTTGTCAGCCTTTGTTACCTTTGTGGAGTTGAAGCAAGAATCTAGTTTTCGAATGCAAACTAGAATTTCCTATTGGAATCCTTGGATTAAAAGTATAGTTATTTCCTCTTTCTGTAAACTCAGTACCATCATCGTTCCATGTATGCTCTTCCTGAATGTGTTCCAACAGTTCTTTTGAGCAGCACATGCAGAAAATATATCTGTAGAGTCAGGGTCCATTTCTTTCAGACACTCTTCCACAACAGCATTTTTCCCCCCCACACTTAGGAGCCAACCGGTGAGCCCTCTCCTAAGAGACCCAGGGGAAGACCCAAAGGCAGCAAAAACAAGAGTCCCTCCAAAGCAGCTCAAAAGGTGAGATTTCTCAAGCTAAGTCGTCCCCCCCCCCCAACTTTCTCTATGACCACAGGAACTTCCGTCCCTGTAATTTCCCATTCTAGATCCAAACCTAAGGATTTGTCCCAACTGGGTTACCCAAGACACATTTCCTACCTCTGCTGTGTCTGAGCGAAGTAAGATTTCTAAGCAGTTGCTGAGCATACAAAGCTTAATGAAGATGCTTCAGTGTTGTTCTTAAACAAACAATCACCAAATAATATGAAACTCAAAACCAGGGGTGGGAGGAGTGGAGAAAGACGCAGTTAAGATCTGGGCCAGTTGTGAAAGAGTTAAAAATAAGTCAAAACTATAGGATTTGCTTGATGGTGATGTTTGCAATTTCCTTCAAAAATAATAAAGATTGATTTGCTTTGTGCTGATGTACATGATTATATGTAAAACCAAATCCTTCCATAAGGTTAAGTACTTTGCCAAATGATAATTAGAAGTAAATCCAATTATGGGATGCTGGAGAAGAAAAATTTCATGAATTCTACAGATTTAAATATGATGATAAAGTATGTTGTTTGTTTACAGTAAACATGCAATATAACATAATTCTTCAAAATACCTTTCCATCAGGTGATACAGCAGTGCTCTAAAATGGGGTGAGAAGCTTTTTAAACAAGTATTGGATTTCGTTTATTGTGTATTTTGGGGCAGGATAGAATCCAGTCCATTATAAGTTCTCGTGGTTTTATGTATAAATTTTAAAATGCAATTTGAAGCAACTTCATGTTGCTTGTATTTGAGCTAGCAAAGAGGAAATATCTCAGGGTCAAGGCATGTTCAGAGAAGCGAAGGTGAATATAAAACTCACTTTCTTTTGGCTCTATAATGTAATCCAAAGAAGTTTCTGTATTTTATTTGCAGGGCTGTATATTAGTTGAAAACAGAGGTTCAAGATTGAGCAGTGAATTTTGGTAAATTTTGTGTATACCCTTTTAGTAGGCGTGAGTACATCACTTACAGTATTTGTTAGAAAGGGTTATAAGATCATCTTTGGGGACTGATGTTTTGTGTGGTTTTCTCTGTGACTGTGGGCACTAACCATGTTAGATGTGATAGTTTTCAGTGTTGTAAACTGCCATAGCAACCAGTGATACATATAAGGTTGTTTAGGGAGTAACTATGAGTTCTTGTCTGTTCTATTTTAATAATCCTGAACAGAGCTGAAGTGAAGGAGCAGATTCCTCATGTCTTTAAATACAGCTGCTTCACACAGGGAAGATTTAATTGTGACCCACATTTAATCAATAAACTTTCAAGTAGCTCTAAGTGACCTTGTCATTTAGAGCTGACTGTATAGAATCTGGTATTTCTAATATGAATATTTCCCATTTGTTACATTTTTGCCTGCTTTATGAAATTAGCTGAAAGGGGCTAATTTAACAAAGGAGGTTTTAAGTGTTGCACAAGTGTGTGGGGTTTACCTAACTTAATTTTACTCTAGTGAAATGGCAAAGGAATATCTTGGTAGGTAGCTAACAGACATTGAAACTGTGATGTAACTGCTCTGAAAAAATGCATCATCACAACATCTCCCAGGAAGAAATCTGTATATCTCATCATAAATAATTTATTTAAAATTTAAGACAAAAAGAAAAGGAAAATGAATCTTATCTTTCAGATTTCACTGTATTGCATTTTTTTGAATGAGTAAATTGATGCTTCCATCACCTTCTTTCTCTTCATTTTGAAAAGTTTACTACTGGCTAACAAAATCTTTATTGACAAAAGGAAAACTGAGACTTGTGTCCAATTTACTACCTAAAGCAAAATAGCAAAAAAAAAAAAAAAAATTGGTCTCCTCCCAAGGAAGGTTTGATTTATTTTTAGTTGCTTTAGTAATAGGTGTTTACAAATGATCCTACTAGGCTACTCATCTTTCTGATAATTCTTCATGTAGATATATACATTATTACAATTTCTAAAGCAGAGATAGATTTTCTTTTTCCCACAGAAATCTTTCCCTGAGATCTTTCATTCCTCCAGACAAAATTGTTTCACACAATTCTGTTATAAAAGTGCCTTCTAATAAAAATGAGTAAATATATTTGCCATAACACGACTGTTACATTTCTTCAGTTTTATAGATTACGCTTCATTTGGAGAAGATCATACTTTGCAAAATAATGAATGACATTGATGAATTGTTCATGGCATGTGTAAACTTAAGGTATTTTCACTTTCAAATCAGTATTTATTGAGTTTGCTACTACTCTATGTAAACATGATTATCAAACATATTTGTTTATCAAACATATATTGTATTCTGACAAAACATGGTTGTTAGGATTTTTGAGAAGCAATCTTTTTTTACGAAAGGTTATATTGTTCATAACATGTAAGATCAACATACCCTGCTAGACTGACCAGAGTAGATATGAGAAGTCTCCTATGATTAATAAATTGGATATTCTCGTGCAAACTGAGACTCATCCAGATGAAAAATATAAAACAAAACTGGTAAGTATATAGGAGAACAGAGCTCTAAAATTAGAAGAGTGCATGCAGTGGACACTGGAATCCTGATGATGTTGTGTGTTTAAAATTTCTTGCTCCTTGGAGTTTCTTTGCTTACAGAGTTTGTGTTTGGACTCAGTAACTGGCCTTGGGGCATTTGAAAACAAAAATGCTTGTTGGAAAATTAGCAATGTGAAACTTGACAATGCACGCTGCATGTTGCAAGACCAAGTGGAGGACTAGTGAATTAGCAATCACTTTAATTTCAGGCCATAGTCAATATAAAATTGACTTGTGTAATATATAAAACAAACATTTATGGAAGCACAATTTGTTGTGCTTGGAACTTTTGGAAGAGAAAGGTAATGGTTCTTCAATCTGTTTATATTCCAATAATATAATCCAACAGATTCCCACGGATGACCATTATGTGGCGATTCTAATCATTGCTGAGAAACCCAATTTCTGAGTGCTCAAAATCTGTCCTTGAACCAACTTCATATTGCTATCTTAATAAAAAAAAAGAAGTTAATATTTTCCTGAATAAATAATTTGTGTGTGTGTGCATGTGTATATGCATGTGTGCCTATGTCTTGACCTTTTAATTTATGTTTTAGATTGAGATATACCTATGACCAGTGGTCTCTCAATTTCATTTTTGTTTTGCTTTGTTTTCCTCTCATGTTTGTGCTGGATGGAAATACTTTGTATTTTTGCATTCTGCCCGTTTAGAGAAGAGAAAGATGTAATCTCCTGGTTGTGTAGGGTTTTTATTGTGGCTTTGTAATCATGAGAGAATCCTGGAGGGGCTGTCACTCATTCTCCACTTTATGTATAAGGTCACAAGTCCAGTTCAGCTGTAAGCCTCAAGCTAATTCTTATTCAGGTACTTTCAAGGAAAGAAAAAAAAAACACCTCTTTTTTTCTGAGATTGAATTAAATTTTAATAGAAGGAAATTGCATATAAAAGGATCTCAGGTGTAAGATGGCCCTACTTCATAGGGTCATAGATTTGCTTGAACTTCCTTTTGACTTTAGGTGTAATGACCAGAGCTAGAGAGCAAGGTGCAGAACAAAAATACCGTGTAGGTAAAGTATGTGTACTTCAAGTAATCTCTTCAGGTGAATATTTAATCTGCATCTTCCATTTGCTTGTACAAAAAAGGCCTGGTATTGATTGGACACTATAAAGGCAGATTTGTGCTTTTTTCTAATTGCATTCTTAGAAACGTGGTTGATTTTTTTTCATAAACGATGACTAATGCCAAGCACAGGTATTTTATGATAAGAGAATGTAGGTTTTCATTTCAGAAATGTTAGAGCGTAGATGCTGAGTGAGGATAAGATTTTTTTTTTCCCCAGAATGTAATAGGCCCAACTGAAAGAGTAACCAGAGGCATCATTATTAGGTAAGTCAGGGAAAGATGGGCATTGCAAGGTTACCATACAGTTCCAGCCTATGGTTTTAGTATTATTTCCTTTGATTCCTGTGTGTTTGAATGGCAGGCAATTTCCACTGGGATTCAGGGCCCTATCTGAGCATTCAGACAGATGGAGTTAAGGAAAACCTAAGTGTTATCTCCATTATCTTGATCTTTTATGCTGATTTACCTGAATAATTGACTTTTCTTTTTCTTTCCCACTTCACTTTGCCACGGAGGACCAAACCTTGAATGCGTGCATCAGTAAATTCTATCTGGTAATGCCTTTGAATCATCATAGATTATGATCCAAATATGGATGATTCAAAAGTGTTTGAATTCTTTTATGAAGTAACTTTATATCAAGGGACCCCTAGTTTGATTTTTCTGGAAGCTGTCATTCTTCTGAACTTAACCATCCAGAGCTCCTCATTGCTTTGACTGACCCAGCCACACTGGCTCATTTTTATCTCAAAGTACCAACTAATCATTCTGCAAAGGAGATAGAGCATCCCCAGTTGGGATTATGTTGTGTTTCAGTTCTTTCTTTAGAATGGGTGGAGACTGAAGAGCATTTTATGTCACTTAAGTCAGACCTCTGTCAGCTCACCCTCTGCAGTTTTCAGAGCTCACCTTGGAACCCCCTTGGCACAGTGAATCTCACTCTCCTAGACTCTGAAACTCTCAGTTACGAATTTTTGTTCTTCTCCTCAGGAGAAAAAGATTGAAAAGTGATGATGTTTTAGGCTCCTGCTTTGTTCTCCTCTGTTCTCTGTTGTTTTTAAGACACTGGACAGTTTTGAATGGCATCTTCTGATCGATTTAGAGAGGAATGGTTCAGTCACTTTATTTTCTCCAGGGTGACATAGGGGGCAGTTTGCTCAGAAGATAACCCCTGTGAACTCTTGTATCGGAGCTATTGTTTTTTTTCTGATTCCAAAAAAAAGTAGAGTGATGGTTTAAAGGAGAATCTTAAACTTTGGAAATAGCTCTTACTGTCATTTTGGCCTTGGCTTTGGTTTAGTGTTTGTATAGGTGAAGACAGGCATGTGTAAATAATGACATGAGAGTCGACAATAAAGGGCTTCC